TTATTGATAAGTTTGACTTTGTTGCTGTCATTTTGTTATGTGTTTTTTCATGGTGTCCCTGGTTTCTTTGTTCCATATTATTTTCTGTGCTGAGCTCGTTATGTTTATGAATTGTGTTATCATTCCCATTGCTGCTGTCAAATACAACACCCTTTCTTGAGGATAACCCTAAAGAAGATTGGAATAGTAGGGAAATTCCTCGCTATGATTCAGAGCATATATGAAACAACCAACATTATACTTAATGGAGAAAGGCTGAGAGCTTTCCCCTTGAAATCAGAAACAAGATAAGGGTGCCAGTTCTTACCACTTCTAGATTCAATATTGTATTAGAAATCCTAGCCGTAGGAATAACACAAGAAAAAGAGATAAAAGGTATTCAAATTGCAAAAGAAGAAGTGAAATTCTCTCTAGTCATAGATGATGTGATCCTGTATAGAGAAAATTCCAGTAAGTCCCTAGGAAAATTTCTAGAGTTGATAGAGAAATTTGGGAAAGTTGCAGAGTACAAGGTCAACAAACAAAAATCAGTTGGGTTTCTATACACCAGCAATGAGAAATCTGAAATGGAAATCAGGGAAACAAAAGCATTTACAATAGCATCTAGGAGAATAGAATACCTAGGAATAAATCTAACCAGTATGGATGAAGCAGGAAGATATTATGCTCAGTGAAATAAGTCAATCACAAAAGGACAAATATTATATCACCTCACTTACATAAAAAGACAAGAAGAGGCAAATGTATGGAGACAGAAGCTTATTGGTGGTTACCACAGGCAAGAGGGAGGGGAAAATCAGACTGATTAAGCATAGGATTGAGCAGCCAATTATTATCATTGCTGTCAATAAATTGTACACCTATAAAAATTTGAGTTCACAAAAGCTGTGTAATAGATACATTTATAACAATGAAAAAAAAAAAAAAAAAACGTGGCTGCTGAGGCTGCTTATGTACAACCAAATACCTCATGGGATTTGGTTTCTTCATTTGGAGGCTTAGGATCATAGTTTCATAGGACATCCCAGTTAATTGGCCTAATAACATGTTTAGTGCTTCTGTTCTACCTCCTTATTCGTTGTATAGTTCCTGGGGTCTTAAAAGCTTTCAAGCAGCCATCCAAGGCACAACACTTGAGTTCTATTCAGCTGGAATAGCAGAAGAAGAAGGAGAGTCAGGAACAGGAGGAAAATATATTGTAGCTAATTGCCACATGAACAACTGCCTCCTTTGCCACGAGACCAGAACTGGATGGTACCAATAGTGAACATTTTGAGTATAGTAATTCTATAGAAGAATCTGTGATCAAAAAGGGGAAAATGCAGAATAAGATTTCAATTTCTCATAGACTCCAGATCTTCTGGAGCCAAGTTGTTGTTGTTGTTGTTGTTTGCCGTCAAGTCAAACAAGGGAACTGGGTAAATCCCTGAAACTATTGCCCTGAGATAATCTTTAAACTTTTAGCCAAAAATGTCCCCTGATGTCGAAACCGAACAATAATTTAGCTTACCTAGTGAAAAAAAAAAAAAAAAAAAAGGTCTGCCTTGAGCATTATGCTCTTTTAAGAACTATCTATATGAGATCAAATTGACAACAGCACGTTGAAAGATTAGATGGGAGCCTTAGGGGGCAGTGAGTTAATGTTAATGAAAATGCCTCAGAAAAGAAGGGTGAGAATGGTTGTACAACTCAAAGAATGTAATCAATGTCATTAAATTGTACATGTAGAAACTGTTGAATTGGTGTATGTTTGCTGTGTATATTCTAACAACAAATAAAATTTAAGAAAAAACAAAAAGAATTAGAAGACTTAGCAAGAATCTAAAAAAAGAAAGAATGAATGAATGATATTAGCTATAAATTTTTTGTGTCCTTTATCACGTTGAGAAAGTTCCCCTGTTTACTGAAAGTTTTTGTCAAGAATCTTTGTTTGCATTTTGTCAGATGTTTTTTCTGTATCTCTAAGATGACCGATGGTATTTTTTCAACTAATACGCTAAATTACATTGATTGAATTTTTAATGCTTAACTACCGTGTATCCCTAGGATAAATCTACTTAATCATGGTTTATTATCTTTTTTATAAATTGTTGGATTTGATTTGAGCCCTGGTTGCATAGTGGTTAAACTCTCAGCTGCTAGTGAAAAAAGTCAACAATTGAAACCCACCAGCCTCTCCAGAGGAGAAAGATGTGGCAGTCTGCTTTCCTAAAGATTTATAGCTTTGGAAAACCTATGGGCTATATCAGAATCAACTCAACACCAATGCATTTGGCTTTTTGGATTTGATTTGCTAAAATTTTCTTTAGCATGTTTGCATCTATATTCATGAGGGATATTGGTCTGTAGTTTTCTTTCCCAGTTTTGGTATCAGTAATGCTGGCCTCAAAGTATAAGTTGGGAAGTATTCCCTTATTTTCAATTTTCTGAAGAATTTGTATACAATTGCTAATATTTTTCTTCCTTGAATATTTAATAGAATTCACCTATGACATCATTTGAGCCTGTAATTTTATTTATGGGAAGTAGTAGTATTCCTGTTATCTTCCGAAATGAGCTTTGATAGTTTGTGTCTTTCAAGAAATTTGTCTATTTCAGGGAAGGACACAGAGAAGAGGTAACTATGCAGAGGAAGTGGGAAGAAAACTGTTGGATTGTGGGAAATTGTAGTCAATGTCATGAGACAAAGTATATATGAACTGTGTATGGAAAAAGAATTTGCTCTGTAAACTTTCACCCAAATCATAATAAAAATTGAAAGAAAAAAAATTTGCCCATTTCATCCAAATTTTCAATTTTGTTGACATAAAGTTGTTCGTAATTGCCTCAAACCAAAAAAAAAAAAAAAAAACTCACTGGCGTCGAGTGGGAACCAACTCATGGAGACCCCTCCTTGGGTTTCCAAAGCCGTGTCACTACAGTGGTAGATTGGCTAGTGCTGCTATAACAGAAATGCAAGTGGGCGGCTTTAACAAACAGAAATTTTGTTCTCACTGTTCAGGATAGAAGTCCAAATTCAGGGTGCCGACTCTAGAGAAAGGCTTTCTCTTGTGTTGGCTCTCGAGGAAAGTCCTTGTTTCCTCACAGCTTCTGCTCCTGGTCATTCTTCAGGTAGCCCCATCTTTGCTTTTTTCCACTCGCTTGTTCTGTTGTGTGACTTAAAACACACCCTACACTAATCTTGTATCACTAACATAACAATTGCTGATTAGAATTATATGCATAGCCATAGAGAGGTTAGGATTTACAACACATGTTTCTGAGAGACACAGTTCAATTCATAACAATAGTGTTTTCTTATTCTTTTAGTATTTGATTGCTAACCAGAAGGTTAGCAGTTCAAACCCACCAGCCACTCCGTGGAAGGAAGACAGGGCAATGTACTTCCATAAAGATTTACTACCTCAGAAACCTAATGGGGATCACTATGAGTTGGAATTGACTCCATGGCAGTGGTTTTATTTATTTATTTATTTATTTATTTATTTATTTATTTAAATATAGTAATGGCATCTCTCTTGTTCCCTATACTGGTCATTTGCGCCTTATCTTTTTTTTTTTTTTTTTCCTCCCCCAATCGATCTACAAGAGATCAGACTATTTTGGCCTATTTGGACTCCCAGGTCCATCTTCTCAACTCAGAGACTTTTGAGCTCTAAGTTGTCCCTCCCTGTGTTGCATCCTGGTAACTCTTGCTAGGCAATAAGCTAAAAAAAATTTTATAGATCACCTCATTTGTTTTCCCTCTTTCATAGACCCTGTGTTTCCTGATGCACAGTATTTGAAAACCATTGTTTTAATATAATTGTTTTTGTTTTTTGTTTGTTTGGAGGAAAAGTAAATAGGAACCCTTTTTCCATCTTAGTCAGAAGTAAAAACTCTCAACCCTATTTTCTACCTTATCATAATTGATTTTAATGTCAAGCTAGTCCATGGTGCTTGACCACAGAAATTATTTCACTTCTAATTCTGGGCATGAGAGGGAGGTATAGAGTGCTTCATAACTTTCCATTTCCCAAAATTTTACTCAGAGAAACATCCAGATGATAGGATTTTGTCCAAATAGCAATATGTTAGGAATAAAACATACAGCAGAAATCCAAAGGGAAGGAAAGAGAGATAGCTAATTAACTTCTTAGTTGTAAAGACCCAAGGCCAATACTTTTTATATTTTCCTTTTCACTCATAACATTTTAATTTCAAAGCAAAGGGAAAATATCATGGTTCAAACCCACCAGCCACTCCACAGAAGCTTAGAATGACCAGATTGACTTCATGACTAGAAGCCATGAAGTTCATGTCAACTTGAGCTCTTTAGAAGAAATGCTAGGGAAAGCGCATGACATTTAGAGGAAGATCTCTCTAACCCTTGAGAGTTAACCCCTACTATCAAGGCAAAAAGGAGCTCTGGTGGCATAGTGCCTAAGGCATTTGACTGCTCACCAGAAGGTTGGCTGTTCCAACCCACCAGCCACTCTGTGGAAAGAAGACTGGGCAATCTACTTTTGTAAAGATTTACCACCTTGGAAACCCAAAGGGGGTCGCTATGAGTTGGAAGCGACTCAGTGGCAGTAAGTTTGGGTTTTTTTTGCTTTGTCTAGACAAAAGAATGAAATAAGTGCTTGGGCCATTTTTGGTCTGACCCTGTTTGACATTCTGATGAAGTACCCATGTTCTTCTCTTACTTTGTATTACAGGTTTTCTCTCTCAGTTGGTCTCTGACAAGCCCCTGACTGAATGCATCCGTGCTGGCCACTATGCAGCAAGTGTCATTATTAGGCGGACTGGCTGCACCTTCCCTGAGAAGCCAGACTTCCATTGAAGGAAGGACAGGAAACCCAAGAAGCCCAGGAGTACAGACACTGCCTTGATCGCTTCCTGAGAATTCCCATATTAATAAAGAAGAAAATTATCTGCTATCCTTTCCTACTATAATAATATTCATTCTTAATTAGTAGGTTACAGTAATGCTCAGTAGAATCTTTATTCTCTCAATAACCTAAAAATATTATGTTTATTTCTATCATTTGTTAGTGCCACTTAAATGTCAATTAAACAGTAATATAAAATTTTAGTGGAAATTTTTATTTCATTTTCAATTACTCTGTAAATTCATGTGTATTTAGCAAACTATCAATTTTTTTACATTTCTGCTTTGAATACAGATGCAATTTAATAATATGATAGATTTTTAAAAAGGAATTAATTCTAATATCAAACTTTGGCTTTTTATACAAGTATGCTTAATTTAGGAGTATATCTGTGTATGTATATGTATGTATCTATATAGATATAGATATAGATCACAAATATACATGATAAATGTTCAGATAAAGTACAGAACTATTTATCTTGCCAATTACAACAAATCACCTCTTCAGTGCACCTTCAAACCTGTAATAAATTTTGGATAATTAGATAATTTGCCAAATTTTAAATTTATAACAATATTCAAATCATAACTTACACTGACTTATGGTACTCTGTAAGGTACTCTGATGGCATAGTGCCTAAGGCATGTGACTGCTAACCAGAGAGCTGGCGGTTCAAACCCACCAGCCACTCCACAGAAGAAAGACTGGGTAATCTACTTCTGTAAAGATTTACTGCCTTGGAAACCCAGTGGGGTTCGCTATGAGTCAGAATTGACTCAATGGCAGTGAGTTTGGTTTTGGTTTTATGGTACTTTGTAATTTAATACAAATAAAAATTAAAACTTATCATATAAGAGTTTTTCTGTCTTTGCCCTGTGTTCAACAAACTGTGGAAGAAAGATCATTATTTAATATTGGGTCCTGCAATGAGATTCTAATTTGCTGATGGAAATATGATAGGAAAATAATATAAGGCTCCAAAAAATAATAGTATTAGAGTCCAATAAGTCACTAAATATGTATTTTAAGGAAAACAAAATGGTATAATAGAGCTTCTGGAGTAGACTTAATTACCTTGATTACTAGGCTCTTTGAACCTTAATTTCCTTATCTACAAAACAGACAGTAACCTCTAACTACAAGATCATTGCAATTATTTGAGGGTGAATACCCAGTGTAAATGCTTGGTACAATGCTAGTGTGTCATTGTTGTTGTTAGGTACAATCGAATGTTTTCCAACTAATAGAGACCCTATCTGCAACAGAAGGAAATACTGCCCAGTTCTGTGCCATGCTGACAATCCTTGCTGTGTCTGAGCACCTTATTTCAAGCCGCTGTGTCAATCCACCTCATTGAGGGTCTTCTCCTTTTTCACTAACCCTCCATGTTACCAAACATGATATCCTTCTCCAGGGACTGGCCCCTCCTGATAACACAAAGTAGAAGAGATGAAGTCTGGCCATTCTCATTTCTAAGGAACATTCTGGCTGTACTTCTTCCAAGACAAGATTTGTTTTTAATTCTGGCAATCCATATGTTCAGTATTCTTCACCAACACCATAATTCACGTGCATCAATTCTTCACTCTTCTTTATTCATTGTCCAGCTTTCAGATGCATATTTTGTTGTTGTTGTTTGCCATCGAGTCGGCCCCGACTCATAGCAACCCCTCCTTGGGTTTCCGAGGCAGTATCACTACGGAAGTAGGATTGCCCAACCTTCCTTCCGAGGAGTGGCTGGTGGGTTTGAACCGCCAGCCTTCTGGTTAGCAGTCAAGTGCTTTAGCCACTATGCTACCAGAGCTCCTGTTGTTAGGTACCATCAACTCAGAGTGCCTCTATGTACAACAGAACAAAACACATGCATATGAGGCTATTGAAAAACAATGGCTTGGGTCAGGTACACCAGGGTCTTCAAAGTAACATCATTGCTCTTCAACAATTTAAAGAGATCTTTTGCAGAGTTTTGCCCAATGCAGTATGTCATTTGATTTCTTGACTGCTGCTTCCCTGGGTGTTGATTATGGATCAAAGTAAAATGAGATCCTTCACAACTTCAACCTTTTCTCCATTTATCATGTTGCTTATTGGTCCAGCTGTACTTTCTATATTTTGAGGTGTAATCCATACTGAAGACTGTAGTCTTTGATCTTCATAAGTAAGTGCTTCAAGTCTTCTTCATTTTCAGCAAGCAAGTCTATCCCAGGCTGTTAATGAGTCTTCCTCCAATCCTGATGCCACATTCTTCTTCATCTAGTCCAGTTTCTCAGATTATTTGCTCAGCATACAGATTGAATAAGCATGGTGAAAGATACAACCCTGACACACACCTTTCCTGATTTTGAACCATGCAGTATCCACTTATTCTCTTTGAATGACTGCTTCTTGGTCTATGTTCAGTTTCCTCATGAGCACAATTAAGTGTTCTGGAATTCCCATTCTTTGCAACATTATCCATAATTTATTATCATCCATGCAGTCAAATACCATTGCATAGTCAAGAAAACACAGATAAACAACTTTCTAGTATTCTTTGCTTTCAACCAAGATCCATCTGACATCAGCAGTGATATCCCTTGTTCCACATCCCCTTCTAAATCTGGCTTGAATTTCTGGTAGTTCCTTGTCAATGTCCTGCTGCAACCATTTTTTTTAATTATCTCAGCAAAATTTTACTTGCATGTGATATTAATGATATTGCTTGATAATTTCCACTTCCTGTTGGATCACCTTATTTTGAAATGGGCACATTGTTATTGTTACTTTTGTCTAACGGAGTGGAAGACAGCAACAGTCCCCATAGGACAGAACTACACCCACACCTCCTGCAACTTCACTTACTAAATGAGAGCCACCACTTCCTTCTCCACCAATGGGCCAATGATAAACAACCACCAAGAAGAGCCTGACTCACCCTTGGCTGCTCCTCACAAACAGTTAACAGAGATCTAAATACAACAATGCCATGATGTCTCGGAGACAACAGACCATCACAGTCCACACAAAGAAGCAAGATAAAGTGGTAGAAACAAGGGAGCAGGATACAGACCCAGAACACATCCCTGAGGAAGAAGCAGCATTGGAACTCTCTGATAAGGAATTCAAAAGAAAGATATATTTAGGTATCTTCAAAGGATTGAGAGACAGACCAAGGAAAACACAGACAAAACCCTAGAAGAATTTTGGAAGAAAATACAAGAACAAAATGACAAAATAAATTAAAAATTAAAAATGTAGTGGGCACATGGATCTCTTCCAGGTGGTTGGCCAGGCCAATGTCTTCCACATTTCTTGGCATAAGTGAATGAGCATCTCCAGTGCTGCATCTGTTTGTTGAAATATCTCAATGGATATTATGTCAATTCCTGCAGCCTTGTTTTCTGCCAGTTCCTTCAGTGCAGCTTGAATTTCTTCCTTCAATACCATCAGTTCTTGATCAGATGGTACCTCCTGAAATGGTTGAACATTGACCACTTCTTTTTGGTACAGTGACTGTATTCTTTCTGTCTTCTTTTGTTGCTTCCTGTATTTTTTGTTCATTCAGTATTTTGCCCATTGTTGTTGTTGTTATGTGCCATCAAGTCAGACCCGACTCATAGCGACCCCTCCTTGGGTTTCCGAGGCAGTATCACTACGGAAGTAGATTGCCCCATCTTCCTTCCGAGGAGCGGCTGGTGGGTTTGAACCGCCAGTCTTCTGGTTAGCAGTCAAGTGCCTTAGCCACTATGCTACCAGAGCTCCCTAGAAACCTTCAGTGTTGCAACCCAAGGCCTGAAGCAATCAATGCCAAGCATGTTCTTACCTTTTTGTTTTCTAACTCCAGGTCTTTGCACAATTCATTATAATACTTTAATTTGTCTTCTCAAGACACCTTTTGAAATCTATTCAACTGTTTTACTTCATTATTTCTTCCATTTTTTGTGTTCAAGAGCAAGTTTCACAGTCTCTTCTGACATCTATTTTGGCTTTTCTTTCTTTCCTGTCTTTTTAATGACCTTTGCTTTTTCATGTATGAGGTCCTTGATATCATCCCATAGCTCATCTGGTCTTCAGTCATTGGTGTTGAGTACATCACATCTGTTCTTCAGATGGTCTCTAAATTCAGCTGGGATATGCTTAAGGTTGTATTTTGGCTCTCGTGGCCTTGTTTTCATTTTCTTTAGCTTCAACTTAAACTTGCATATTCATGGTCTCTTCCATAGTCAGCTCCTGGCCTTTTTCTGACTGATGATATTGTGCTTCTCCATTGTCTCTTTCCACAGATGTAACTTATTTGATCCCTTTGTATTCCCTTTGGTGCAATTCATGTGTATAGTCGTCATTTGTACTGTTGAAGAAAGGTATTTTCAATGAAGAAGTCATTGGTCTTGCAGAATTCTATCATGAAATCTCCATGGTCATTTTTATAACCAAGGCCATTATTTTCCAGCTACAGATGCTTCTTCGTTTCCAACTTTTGCATTCCAATCACCAGTAATTGTCAGTGCATCTTGATTGCACATTGATCAATTTCAGGCTACGGAAGTTGGTAAAAATCTTTTAATTTCTTCTGTTTGGTGAGTAAATTTGAGTAATAGTAGTATTAACTAACTAGTTTTCCTTGTAGACATGTGGACATTGATATGGGTAATGATATTACCCTATTACCTCAGTATAGATCTTGAAATGTTCTTTTTTGCTGATGAGAGCGACACCGTTCCTCTTTGTCATTCCCAGCATAGTAGACCATATGATTCCTTGATTCAGAATTGCCGGTACCAATCATTTCAGCTCACTAATGCCTAGGACCTCAATCTTTGTGTGTTCCATTTAATTTTTAACAACTTCCAATTTTCCTAGATTCATACTTCGTACATCTCACATGATTATTAATGGATGTCTGCAGCAGTTTCTTCTCATTTTGAGTCATGCCACATCAGCAAATGAAGGTCCCAAAAGCTTTGTTTTATCCACACATGTCATTAATGTCACCTCTACTTTGAGGAGGCAGCAGGAGGAGTCGTATTTTGAGTACCTCCCAACCTGAGGGAATCATTTTCCAGCACTATAGCAGACAATATTTCACTGCTATTCATAAGGTTTTCAGTGGCCAATTTTTCATAAGTGGACCACCATGTCCTTCTTCCTAGTCTGGAAGCTCCACTGAAACTTGTCCACCACGGGTGACCCTACTGGTATTTAAAATTCTGGTGGCATAGCTTCCAGCATCACAGCTACACCTAAGCCACTACAGTATGACAAACTGGCAGATGAGTGGTGAATGCTAGTTCACAGGCACTTAATTATAGCATCTGTTTTTATCATTATGATTGTTGCTGAGGAAGAAAAAAGATAGTATGTGTAAAACTGAACTTGGCCTGTATAAAAGAGTTTGTTTTTTGGTTTTGTTTTATATTTAGGTAGATATTAAAATCTCCTGTATTTGCTTGTCTTTTCTTATTATTATTACTGAACTATAATTCACACACTATAAAATTTACCCTTTAAAAGTATACAAGTCAATGGTTTTAGTATATTCACAGAATTGTGCACATCACCATTAT